CTGGGGATGGCTGCAGCTTCTCCGCAGATATCGTGTATCACGTTGGGCGAAATCATGTCGTTTTGCAAATAATGTATAGTCTTTAGACATAAGTCGTTTGTCAATCATGAGCAAGTCTCTGACACATGTAGCAAGAGACTTAGAAAGCATCTTTATCTTTGTTATTTTCCCTTAATTTGCTAGCCTGCTGGCCCTGCTCGCCGACTGAATTAGAGCTAGGGGACTTGACTATGGAAATTTGATTTCCAACCCTAAATTGATTTCAAGAAAAACTCCAAGCCGTTAAACACACAATACAAATATACAATTTCATTCACAGTACAATTTAAAAGTTTTGGTGGCACTTTACTGATGGCCAAAGTCAAGGGCAACTGCGCAAGTTGGAAGCTTTAAAAAGATCAAAAGATAGAGTGACTATATATATATATATATAGTGAGTATTTGTTCATTCTCTGACCTATGATTTTGCGTAGGAACAAGCTTCTCGACCAATCATCGCGTACTATATAAATGTGTTGTTATATGTTTTTTTTAATTCGTAATACATACAATTCCTCTTCTCTGCATCGCAGCATCTGCAGAATGCCACACCGAACTTCCAAAAGTAAAGAGAGTGATTACAAGCGGCACAAGCTTCATTGTAGAATATCCTATTGGTAGATATAATCTTCGTCAGTATGTTAGCTTCAATGAAATGGTAAATCAGATTAAATGGTGATATAGTTCCTAATAAACTACGGTTTAATAATATAAGGATCTTTTAAAACCACTGAGAAAAGTCATATTGGACACACGGCAAATATATCGTATTAACACACAAGATTGTTTACGTGTGTTTATTTACGAATTTGTCAGCAAATGACCATTGACCATGCACGAGGGTAACTAATCAATCACAGCACTCGAATTGGGGAGAGGTAATTAAAGTTCAACAACTGCAAAGACCATCCAAATTGATATGATTGTTACCTCTTGAAAAAGCTCTTGGCATTTTTTTAATGTTTGATATGAGAAATAAGCTAGCGAATCCCAAACAGGACATCTTTTCTATTCTTTTGTTGTTTCCATGCGGTATAATTACCAGAACTCTTTGTTGAATAAAACAATGAAACAATAGTATTCGTGTTCTTTAATTTGTTAAGGTTCTCAAGGCCTAAGTTTTTATATACAGGGTGTCCCAAAAAAAACGAAAACTATTGAAATTACTCATTGTTAAAATTTGAATGCCGTGTTCACGAATTTCAGCCCGTGGGGATTTAATGCAACTTATAAAATGCTAAATGCTTTGTGTTGCTAGAGAAAGGGGACATGTCGAAGGACATGGTCCTTGAGATGCACATTTAAATATTGTTATCCATATTTGTAAACTGTGAATATTGTTAATAAATATTTTTGCGTACAAGCAAATTTTACTGCATCATATACATGCATAAAAATGAGAATGGTAAACATTTATACACCTCTGGTTCCCAACAGAGTCCTTAGGCATTCAAGCTCTAACAATTGCATTGTTATGGGTGATTTCAATAGTTTTCGGTTTTTTTGGGACACCCTGTATAGTGGGAGGAAACAGGTCGTGCCCAGAGAAAAACCCTTGAAGAACAAGAGACCGAGGAGAGAAAAAACCAAACTCAACAAAATTTATAATGTTTATAGTTTTATCCTAATAATTATTTAACGACGCAGTCAGTATATACATTTAACACCAACATATCCATGAAACGCTTCATCCACGGACCTCAGTGTCAAAGACATCAGTTTAACTGCTGGCCCGAAAGCTGAAAAACTACGACTAATATTATATCTTGAAAGTATTATATAGCATGCATTCAAGACAGAGGCCAAAAAAACATACATGATTTTTTCCTACAAAATTTCTTTGAATTTTTTGCTTCATCAGTTTCGTGACGGTTTAATTTAATTGCTTATATATAATAAACGGATTAAAAGCATACTTCAAAATACGAAATTTATGTTTCTCGTGTTCTGACTGTTAATAGTAATAATAAGATCAGAGCTCACCTCAATTTTTGTTCTTTCTATTTAGAGTGTCGAAGTATGAATGAACACCTCATGGCGGGCTATCTAACTTTTTTATGACAATTACCGGTAATGACCAGTAACTTTATTTGTTTTACAAAGTTCGAAAAGAAAGATTAAAATCTTCGAAATATAATATATGAATATATCAATTTTACATCTTATCTAGATCTGGGCACCAGGTTTTTTTGTTGTTGTCTAAATTAACGCTTCGTGTATAGTTATGTAATGTGATATGATGTATACAACACCATGCAAGGATTGCAGATGGGTTGGAAATTGTCAGTTGATCCGCTTGACGCTTAGGCACAATTACTAAATAATATAGCAACCATTATTAATAAAAAAATTATAATATTAATACTTGTAAAGTATAGTGCGTTAATTAAGACCAATTATAGCGATTACAAACGTTACAAAGTCATATTTTTAACACAATCTGGTTGGCCGCGGTAAGGGTAAGTATCACGCCATAATTATTTGGACTAAACGACAGTAAAAATGATAAGTGCCTTCCTTTTCAGGTTCAACCTGAGATTATAAATACAAAGGTGCGCTGTTCAGAACAACTTATAAGGAGTAGGGGTTTAACACTTTACGGTAGCTAAGTAAGCCAAGTTTACATTCCTCATTAGTAATTTATTTCGGAAAAGAAATTCAATTGTAATCAACATCAGAAAACTGTCTGAAAAGTTGAAAAGAGTAAAATTTAACTTTGAGAATATTTTGAGTTTTTTTTACCCAAGTATGAAGTCCGGAAAATTCGCAGAAGCTGCATGGCTGAGACGTATAAGTTTATATGCAGCGTCGTATATATTGCCGTCTGTAATCAGCAAAATACATTTCGCTATTTCTCTTAAATTACGAACTATATACCATCCATATACTGAATTTCATACGAAATAACAAAAGAAATAACGAAAAGCTAGCATTTAGCTGATTACGAACCGCAATACGACACCGCATAAATTTGCATTTTAGCGATGCAGCTTCTGCGAAGTTTCTGGCTGACTTTGTGCTTCGGTCAAGTAAACTCAAAATATCCTCAAATAATGCCTAATGCATTGGTGAAGAAGGATCTGCAGAGAAAAAAACATGTAATTAATACTCCCTTCTTTTCTTGGTCTAGATCAGTGCAGAGTTTGAACGGCATTAGCTAATGGTGTCGTCCGCTGTGGCTGAGTCGTTCACATTTAACGAGAAGAAAGTGGCTGCTGCAATAATTCGAGTTGCACGAAGGAAGACAACATTCAAGAAAGAAATTAAACGTTTCTTGGACCTCCTTGAAATAGAGCCGACAAACGATGCTGTCGATGAGCCTTCTGAAAGTAGGTTAATTATATATGTGGATCCATGTATATGCAGTTTATAGTTACTCATATTTGTTTTGTGTGTATTTTATTTTAGAGGAACTTGGTCGCACCCGTCTTGTTACCGTTTCTACTGCCTCAAAAGAGGAGTAAGGCGAACCAAGAAGAGTTCGTGCATGCAGTTTGTTTCGGTAAGAGCCTGTTGCCCGAGTTCGAGCATCGTTGCTGATAAACAAGTCCTGTTCAGTGATCGAAGTGGAAGGCGGTATGCTAGAAGCCACCATGCTTTTGTTTGCGACGTATTATGTTTTTATGTTTGAGTATCCACCTACGCTGAACAATTTTTTTACGTATTACAGAAGTGTATTTTTAATATACCAGATTCTACACTAGAAAACTTCCAACTTCTGTAATTTGCTTTGTAAACGAACTAGAGAGCAAAGATGATTAGTAAAAATGTAAATAGACTTAACGAGCTTAGCCTACACGATCCAAGGGAAAATATGCTCAATATATTTAATTAGATTCAACATCTATTGGAAATTGACGGTGTTTGAAACCGTTTTGGCATGCATGAAAACGATAATGAAAACGCTCAAACGTTACCATGTGCACATTATAATCTCGTGCATACAAATTATGGTATTTGCAGTTTTTTTGATACACCCTGTAGTCTTTGAATCGTAGATATTCCACGTGCGATTACGGATTATTTAAATATAGCCAAAATCTTTGTTTTTGCAGTCAATGAACACTGCCGGAAATATTAATGGTAGTTGGATTTCTCAATAAATCAACCAAATACCTTTGTTTTCTTTGTTTAAAACAAATTAATCAATGGTCCTTCTATAACGATTTTTGTCTAATTTATTCAGCCAGTAACTTACAATCTCTCCCTGGCAATGCATGCTAGTTTCGCGTAGAGGAACGTAGAGAAGAAGGAGGAAGTGTTTAATTTGAAACCATTTGAAACCATTTAATTTGAAAATTGAATTGACGAGCAAGGGTATGCACAGAGGAAAAATAACGAATTGAAGTTAATATTTTACGGCAACAAGGTCAGTATATATAATTCATCGCAATTATCGTTACTTGGTTTGATTTATAATGGTAATAGAACGAATATAGGAGTGCTATTAATTGCAAAATCATACGAGTGATTACAAAATCAACGGAAGGCGTAGAGGGTAGAGGGAGGTTGATTTGTTAGTCACAAGTATGATTTTGCCATTAATTGTACGACTGACTCAATTCGTTCGATAACTTCGATTACTTATTAATTATATGCCTTCTGTAATCAACTTGTTTTAAGGAAAAGTACTAAAACACAATTTAAGCTCATGAAAGGGTGCGATTAATGATCAATCGCCCTCCTCTTAACCAATGAAATTGCAGTATTTGCTGCTCATTACAAAAGGTATATAATTAATGAAAGTAATCACACAAAAATTACATTCACAACCTAACGTTTCGACACTCCGGTCTACAGTATAGTGTCTTCATCAGGTATCCCTCAATCCCGCATCGTTCGCAACGCCCTGAGGCTGGCTAGGCCACTGTTTAAAACGACAAATAAAAACAAAAAGAAAGACTACTTTTCAACTCCGTCGACAACGCCGGAGTAATTTTATTTTGCTAAGAACACACATGATGTGATATTATAGGATAATGATGATTTTTTTTAAACATTTAATCTCCATTCCATACACATGGTCGTCCTGATCCAATTGGAAACGCAAAGCATGGGTTAGCTTGTGCTACATAGTTGCTCAATTTAACCTTAAACTCTTGGTTAAAATCAATCACACCATTTGCTGATGAGTGCTTATATAATGCGTTCATTTGACTTGTTTGCTCTGCTTCTTCTGCTATCGGAACCAATGTACAAACAGGGTTAGGAGGATTCTCCTGCGTTGATGCAAATGGGTACTCATCGGCTGTACATGTTGTAGTCGCTACTAAATTCTGACACGATCGGTTTCGGTTGTATCTCGTCTCCGCGCCACCCGATGTTCTTGTAAGCCTGTCTGGTTTTCCTACGGTTTGGATTGCGTAACAGATGTTCTCGCAAGTGGCTTGCATATTGGTGCAATCAAATCTAAGCACAGGCTGGAGAAAAATCACAGATGAAGAAAATATACGGTTATACAGGTACAGGTTAAAAAGAACTATTTTTTTTCTATTTTTATCCTTCTTCCAGATTAACATTTTTTAAAGATTTGCCTATAACTTAACTCAAAGTCTTTGAAAATTGTCTCAGTTCAGGAAACCGAACACCTTTATACATCCTTCATACCTTTACTAGAAAGCCGGGACAAATTACCTCAGGCACATGTTGACTCAGTTTGTCACAAAGTAAGAAATAGATATCTTTTACTTACTCTGTGGCTTTTCCGAGGCGTCTCATGACGTAATAATTTTAGATCATGATTTTTATATATATATATATATATATATATATAATTATATATATATATATATATATATATATACCGTTATAGAAATACTTGTGGGAGTTTGGAAGAGCTTGAAATAACGTGAAAAAACTCGCCCCACTATAGAAACTGTATAGAAACACAAAAAATGTTTTTTATTTCTTACTAATCATGTTTATGATATCGGGAGTAAAATACTTACTATCCATTTCATCGTAGCATCTGCAGAATGCCACACCGAGCTTCCAAAAATAACGAGAGTAATTACAAGCGGCACAAGCTTCATTGTAGAATGTCCTATTGGTATAGATATAATCTTTGTCAGTATGTTAACAGTTAACTTGGATGCTTACCGTGTCAACTAGTTGCTGTGAATCCTGTGATCGCAGCTTCGAATGCACGACTAGCTTCCGAATATACTCGGCACAATTCGGCAAGCTTTCGGCGAATTTTATAGTTCAGTGTTTTATAGTTCACTGAACAATCATACTATGAAACAAAGAATAATTATTGGAAATTTGTTCCCACTTTTAGCAAGAATTGATAATAATATGATAACGATTACGATAAATCGATATAACTCAAATTATTTGCTTTAGACATATATTTGCTTAATTTTGGTGTGATTCAAAGAATTAATATGTAGCTACTTCTATATAATTTTGTGTGAATATCAGATTGCATTTCGTATCCAAAAAGATGAAACTGAAAAATTCTAGTTCGGAAAACTCTTCAAGCCATGGCCACATTCGATACGGTCTACTGAGATCCGCGCCTGATATCATATTACACTAATGATATAAATATATACTGTACAAATATGTACTGAAAGTTTCTTTATTACTATTAAAACTTTCCTACAAAACGTACTCATTCTGTCCTTCTGACACTCAATCTGCATCACTTTACCACTCTGAGGTGCATGCATGGTCTTAAGGTCTTACCAGCTATAGGTTATGTTATGTGATTCAGTTACAAAGGTTCCGAGGCTTAGTTTTCAAGGCTTAATTTCGTATAGTTTTGCTGCATACGGTACAATTTTTTTATTCCTTTGGGATTTTTGCATCAAATTTCTTTGTATTTTATTGGTTCATATTGTGACGGTTTAATTTAATTGTTTATATATAATAAACGGATTAAAAACATACTTGAAAATGAGAAATTTCAAATTTATTCCTCGTGTTATAATAGATTACTTGTTCGCTGTGCTCATTCATAAGATATCTCTAGTATATATAGCTATAGTTTTAGTACCCTGACTATTAATAGTAATGATATAAGATCAGGACTCACCTGAATTTTTTTTACCGTTGTTCTTTATAATTAGAGTGTCAAAGTGTGAATGAAGTCCTCCTTAATAAAGCACCAGATTATCTAATTAGTATGACAGTTACCAGTAATTACCAAAGGGACAAAAAATGCATGAATGGTATCGAATGCAACACAGTGAGGTTTATTTTGAAAAGATTTTTTATCATTTTTACATCTAATCTTGCCACCTGGTTCTTTTCTTGTGTAAAGTAACGCTTCGTGTAGTGATAATGTGATATAATTAGAGTGTCAAAGTGTGAACGATGACCTCATCACAGATTATCTATAATCAGTATGACAGTTACCAGTAATTACCAGTAACTTTGTTTTAACAAAGTTCGCAAAGGATCGAAGTAAAATTCCCAAAATATATATTTAAAAAAGTCGACATATTTAAAAAAGTCGACTGTGGATGTATTTTTGGATATGGATTTTTATTCAAAGGAATGAAAATAAAGAAAATGTGGAGAGTCTGAGGGACCGAAAGTGCTTTGATGCAACATATAGCGAGATTTATTTTAAAAAGATTTTTAATCATTTCTACATCTAATCTATAGCCACCTGGTTATTTTTTTTTTAAAAGATTTTTAATCATTTCTACATCTAATCTATAGCCACCTGGTTATTTTTTTTTAAAGATTTTTAATCATTTCTACATCTAATCTATAGCCACCTGGTTATTTTTTGTGTAAAGTAACGCTTCGTGTAGTGACAGTCGGATATATGCAGGACGTGTTTTTGAAGCTGACCAGTTTGCGCTTGGCGTACGCTTGTCACAATTGCTATTTACTAAAGACCCTGTTACACGGTGCAATTTTTCTTGCAACTTGCAATGCAATTCTACTAGAAGTAATAAAAAAATAGTCAGTGCGTTCGGTGGTAGGATTTCTCATCGTTAAATCACTGCAAAATATATATGTCTGGTTTCCTTATGTTTTGGATCGCGTAACAGATGTTCTCGCAAGTGGCTTGCATATTGGTGCAATCAAATCTAAGCACAGGCTAAAGAGAAAAATTTCTGATAAAAGAAAATATGCAGTTATACAGGTATACAGATTAAAATTTTTTTTCTATTTTTATCGTTCTTCCAGATTAATTACATTTTTTTAAGATTTACCTGACTTAACTTAAAGTCTTTGAAAATTGTCTCAGTTCAGGAAACCGAACACCTTTATACATCCTTCATACCTTTACTAGAAAGCAGGGGCAAATTACCCCAGGCACATGTTGACTAATAGAGTAAGAAGTAGATATCTTTTACTTACTCTGTGTCTTTTCCGAGGCGTCTCCTCGCCACTCACAATGTTTACCACCACATTTAACCATCCCCTTAACTGAACATTCAACTCTTTGCAATTTAACCCTAACCAGATGATCTCTACGGCTTTTGGATCTTCGAAAACATACCATACTAGGCTGTTCAGGCATAACACTCAAAAACTGCCCAGACAAACCTACAATATTTTGCAATTCCCTAAAAATACCATACAATTCACACAAGCCGGGTGAAAATCTATGACTATATATATATATATATTTATATATTATTATGTTACAGTTATATTATAGAAATACTTGTGGGACTTTGGAAGAACTCGAGGTAACGTGGAAAAACACGTAAATACATTTTTGAAATATTTTTGTAAATTTATAGTTTTCTGGACATTTTAAAATCTTCTCCTTTTTTCTTATGCACCCTGTATATATGCAGTTTTAGTACGCCCGACTGGCCATTTATAAGATCATCGCTCATATACACCTGAGCTTCTCTCTCTCCTGAAAACTCTTTAACTACATTTTCATAGTTAATCATAGGTATTAATTCGGAAATACACGACTGTGATTGGCCAATTCTGCCCTTAACTACAGTTATAAAAGTTAATTATAGCCTTTTATACAACTGGCCTCTGAACTTTTGACAGTGTTGTTCTTTAGAGTCTTTGAGTGTGAATGAAGACCTCGTCACAGATTATCTAATTACTATATATGACAGCAGTTACCAGTAATTACCAGTAACGTTACTTGTTTTAACAAAGCTCGAAAAGGAAGAATAAAATCTTTGATAAATAGATATGTCAAAATCACAGTGATATGGATATATTATTCTATTTTAAAAAATGAAAATTAAGATTAATATATGATATAATATCTAATATTTAAATAATATATTGAGAATCTAAGGGGCTAAAAGTGCTTGAATGCAACACAGGAAGAAAATTTTTTATCATTTTTACATCTATAATCTGGGCACCTGGTCCGTGCACAATTACTAAATAACATATCAACCATTATTATGACAACGAAACAACAAATGCAATACTTGTAATGTATATAGGCTATATAGTCCGTTTAAATAAGCAAAGGACAACTGTTGTGATGTAAATAGTACATTGAGAACGTTTTGGGAGATTGAAAATTTTGGAACTGAAAGCAAGCGATCGATAGTAATGACCAACGAAGAGAGGAATGCATTGGAGAAAGTGGAATCGTCATTAACGCACAATGGATATCGCTACTCTATATAGCTGTTCCGTGGAAAGAGGATAGTCCGACTCTTTCAAACAATCGAGAAATGGCAATGAAACGTCTGGAGAGCACGGAAAGACGCTTGAATGCCAAAGATACCTTTGTTAAGAAAGAGTACGAAAACACCATAAAGTCATATCTTGAAAAGGGTTATCTACGAATTATTATCTCCGAGGGTTATCTACGAAGGGTTATCTCCGGTTGTCAAGCTGAACAAGTCAACAACAAAGGTGCGCATAGTGTTCGATTGTTCGGCGAAGTACATGAGGTATGTCGTTGAATGATGTCATAGACGCTGGGTCAAAGTTACAAACCGAACTGTTCGTACGTTTTCGACGAAATCCCATTGGGATCGCTTGCGACATAATAGAGATGTATTTACAATCGAGATAGAAGAGAAAGATCGTCCCTACTTTAGAATTTTGTGGCGAGACTGCGAGAGCAACCGACAGCCTGATGAGTTCGAATTTACGAGCGTCGTTTTTGGAAAAAATTCGGCGCCTATGGAAGCACAATTAAGTGATTTAGCATGAGGAAATGAACGTCAAAGACGACGTAAAAATGGCGAATAAATGGCGTGATGCGCCTAAATATGGACATGCCACGCTATTTGCTCGTCATTTTTACGTCGCCTTTGACGTTCACGTCTTCATGCTAAATCTCCCTAATATGTCGCCCAAGAAAACGCTTGTCGTTTCCAAGATCGTTATCCATTAGCAGCCGAAACGGTTCTAAAGTCTACATATATGGACGATAGTATCGATTAGCGATAGCATCGAGGACGAAGCCAAGGCCAAAAAGCTTCAAACAGAACTGCAAGAGCTATGGAATTAGAATGCTGGTATGAAAGCCAGAAAATGGGTCTCGAATTCGAAGCAAGTTCTAGCAACTATTTCCAAAGAGCACTGAGCATCTGAACTAGTAATTCGAGACGCAGATCAACCAGTGACCAAAACGTTAGGCCTCTCGTGGTTCAGCGAAGAGGCTCCCCCCCAGTTCCAGCTCCGCCGACGACTACATTCGCCCCAGCGACTAAGTCCCGAACGTCATTCATCGTGGATGCGTCTGGTTTGCATTCACGCACGGGTTATTTGAGTTTTGAGCAACATGCAGAAAAAATCAAACCGGATATCTGAAATACCACTACATCCAGATAAAATTCAGGATGCGGAAGAGGATATCATTCGCAATGCACAAATATAAGTTTTTTCCGAAGAGTACCAAGCCCTGAAAAGCAACAAGACAATCCCATCGAAGAGTCCTTTGATCAGGTTATCACCTCGAATTGATGCGAACGGAATCATTCGTATGGACGGCAGGCTGACGTATGCAGATTACCTTCCGTATGAAGTAAAACATCCCATAATCCTACCCCGAGGGCACCACATAGTAAAACTAATTGTTAAATATTACCACGAAAGAGCAAATCACACAGGGGGCGTGAACTTTATCTTATCTCAACTATCGCAAAGATTTTGGATCATAGCCGCACGGGAAAAGATTCGAAGCTGGGAAAACGGATGTAACGAATGCAAAAAGAAAACAACGAAGCTTGCAACACAAGTAATGGTTCCACTGCCCAAAGTTCGTCTAAGGTTCACCTTTCGCCCATTCGACCAAAGCGCTGTGGATTACGCAAGACCTTTTATTACAGTACAAGGCCGAGGGAGACAGCGTCAAAAGCGATGGTTATGTTTGTTCACGTGCCTTGCGACGAGAGTGATCCACTTGGAGATGGCCTGGGCTCTGGACACGGAGAGTTTTCTAAATGCTTTTACTCGATTCACCAGCCGACGAGGTGTGACATCTGAAGTTACCAGTATAATGGAACTAATGTTGTGGGGGCTGTAAACGAACTGCGAGAATTGGTGGACAATTTATCCAGACCGTATTCAGCAGAAGACAAACCACATCTTCATTAAAGTAAAGTGGCCCTTTAATCCTCCAGCCGCTCCACATTTTGGAGGAATACATGAAGCGATGATTAAGGAAACAGTGAAATTCGAGACGAAGAATTGATTACCGCATTTACTGCTGCCAAAAGTTTGATCAACTTCCGTCCTTTAACCTATCAGACGACAGATCCTGAAGATTTCACGCCATTAACACCAAACCATTTCTTGCATGGGCAAGTGGGCGGAGTAGCGGCTCCCGAATCGGTTGACTACACCACTTTTAATTTTTGGAATCGTTGGCGAAGGGTACAACAACTGATCAATCAAGTGTGGACGAGATGGAGAAATGGCGATGTTGTGCTTGCGTTAGACAGCAACCTTCTAAGAGGTCAATGGCCTTCAGGACGCGTTATCGAGACGTATCCTGGCAAAGATGGTCACACGAGAGTGGCAAAAGTTCAGTGTGAAGAAAGAACCTTAGTTCGACCAATACACAAGCTGGTACCATTGTTTCAAGAAAACAGATAGAACAATATAATTTCGAACAGTTCGTTTAGAGACGCGCTCTACGCAGTGCAATCTTAATCTTTATAATTGACATTTTATGATT